GCAATTTTCACTTGAAATTTTAAAGTCAGACTAAACAAACTAGAGCTTAATCTCAAGAAGTTTGAGGAATAACTAAAATGGAATGGCAAGAAAATATTCAAATTATCTTTGGAAAAGTTTAAGAAAATGAAAAAAAAAACAATAAATTACCAGGGCTAATGAAAATTTAGAATTTACAAAGTAGAATCAGTCCGTAAAGCCAAACGCAGAGCAAATCATACTATTTTATATTAAACCAAATATATCACAATTCAAGACACAAGCAAACTTGTATGCCTCAAATTCAAACCAAAAGCTTTATACATGGACCTAATAGGCCTAATTTGGATTAAAATAACTAGCATAATTCCAGCATATAACAATTTAACATTGTTTTGGTTTTTGGATTAAAATAACTGGCATAACTCCAGCAGCATATAACAATTTAAAATTTAATGCTTTTTACGGAACTCTTGAATCATAGACTTATTTAATGAAAGAATTCTGATAAGAGAGAGTGGGATGCTATCTTGATAGTTCATTNTTATAGACCCTAGGAGACAATTCACATTGATCAATAAAAATCGACTTCAATGCTATTTTTGTTTTATTTTTTATAAGTTTATCCAATTCACATTGATCAATAAAAATCGACTTCACTGGATATTTGAAGTGCTTCATTTTCTTCGAGAGTTGCAGCAAATCCATTGATGTGTCGAGTGTAAGAGTAAAAAATGGCAGCTTTGGCCTTGTCTCTACTGTACAAAAAGAATGAATATAGTAATGGATCAATTTTTTCATCAAGAAAATGAGAANTAATGGATCAATTTTTTCATCAAGAAAATGAGAAATTTGAACTACAAAACTCCATTTTTATCTTCATGATTTCTGCACAAACTTCACTTATGTACCTTCCCAAGAATGACCCTAGAAAGTCATAACGAGACTGAGTGACTCTATCATAATCTGCTTGTGTGGCTTCTTTTCCATGTGAATGACCTCCCAAGTATACCACATATGACTATACAACGGGACCAAGAAAAATTAAAAGAAATAACATCAAGGAAAATTAGGCTGTCAGTGAGCTAGGCTGCAGATAAATTGGTTAAAAAAAAAAAAAGGGATATAGTGGCTGCAGATATGCATTAGTAAATTAACATCAAGGAAAATAACATCAGTTCGTAAAACGTGTTAAAGAAAAATTGTTGATCAAAATAAATTGGTGTCAGTGCGTCTGCAGATATGTTTACCTTCTTGACGGAAAATACGTGGCCGAGCAAGAGTACCAAAACAAGCGAGCGAAAATAAAGAGCCAGAATATGAGTACTAGCTTTCATGGCTCCTTAACTTTCAGGTCTTTTTAGTTGAAGTTACAGGCTTCCACTTCTCTTACAATGGTGTAGTTTACGCGTTTATCGTGTAAATTAAGTTGTGTCAAAAGCAAGATCGAAATAGAGTTTTG